GGACAGTGCCCTTTTAGGGGCGTGGCTAGAGTAGATTCAGAAACTGGGAAAATTGCTGCTATATCATATATTAAGGCGTTCGAGGGTGAGGGGAAAGCGCCACGTTGGTTGTGGAAAAATCGGGTATGTGCGTAAATGAACCGATGCTCATCTGAAGTTGGTTTGAGATTCTGTTTCTTGACCTTAAAATTAATTACAGTTGGACTACAAACATCAATATTAAGTGCAATTGGTTTTATGCGTATGCAGTAACGCAAAAAAAAATGAAATGAAAATGTTGTTGAAAATGCTGAAATGTTGACGTACCCTTGGTGAAACAGTCACATTTTGTAAACGCTGCATTTTGGGTTTTACGTATAGCGGAAGTGATTGAATGATGCGCTCGTAACTTGTCGGCTTAATCCAGCCTCCGGCAAGTGATGTTCTGATTTTTGGTTTCTCGATCCGTTGGATATTCCTTATTAAGTTGCCCTGAAGAAAAGAGCTTTCATCTGGCATTAGACCTTGGGGAATACTTGTATGACGCTTTGTGTGGAGGGTAATTTAATCGAGCATTGGACAGCTTTGAAAAGCTCTACAAATCGCCGATTGTTGGATCATAACCAGTCATTTAATTTTGTAAAATTTGTATTGGTACCACACTTCTTACTATATCTGAGTGAAAATGACATGAATTCGATTGACTGCTTTCAGGCTGGCCCTAGTGGTTTAGGGCAAATGATGCCGTTAGGACCTCAATGCTCAATGCCAAACAATATGGTACCATCTCAGCCAAGTAGGTTGTTATTCATTGTTTCTGTGAAAATGGCGAAGAATATGTTAGAGGTATGCGCCATACTGGTGGGGATGACGCTTTTAGAGCAAAATATGCTGCAGTAAGTTTGTGTAAAGAGTATTAGGGTGTTCTTTCTTTTGTCGGTGTCCAGACTTCCATAAACGTGACGGATGGATTTTTGGTTTATCTGACCCCGGCATTATTTTCGGTCGTGAATCATTGATTCGTTGATGCTCACAAACAAGTTTTTGTTCTTATATGGGGAATAGAACAAGTTTCTATGTCTTTGCAGGTTTATTAGTTCAAGTATTCCCGTGGGAAAAGTATTCTGTACCCATTTACCTGATCTCGCATAGGCGCTCGTTGTGGAGAAAGGAATTAGAATCCCCGTAAAATCACAGTAACCACTGTCGCTTGCGGTGGGAATTAGGGTAGAAGAGCCGACATCTGTACGTCTGTATCGTCTGTACGGTGAGTGGAAGCATATCCATAGAAGTTAGTTGAGTAGGCTTTGCAATGTGCAAATATAAACAAATAAATATAGACAAAATAGGTAACAGAGTTGATAAGTGTCCTAAAAAAGTTAAGCAATCTCCCTAATTCGATTCGTCTCTGAAAAAAATTCGTGGAAGAATAATTCGAGATTATGACAGTATTCATTGATTATTTGCAGCTATGGTGACGCAAAACCAGCCCATGGTTGGCGGACCACAGCACGGCAACCCCCAGCAGGGTGTACAAAACGCGAATATGCAATCGCCCCTACAATCACCACTGCACTATCCCATGAGTTATGGGTAAGTTGTCATCGTTCCTGTCCCTTACAAGTAACCGCTAATGCCCTAATATCGGTTGACCTGCCCACCAGAGCCGAAACACCCTCCACAAAATCGCAGTTTACAAAATTCGTCGCTGCGACATTTTCAATCATTATCCGCGCAGCGCCAAAATTCTCTGTGGTGTTTGAATAATTGCAAAGATATTGCAATTTTTTTTTCGATACTCAGCAACCATTTCGAGAATTTTTTTATTCGATAGTATTTCACGCCTTTTTCCCTAGAATATGTGTAGGTTAACGATGTTTGTGATTGTAATATAAGTAGGTATCCGAATGGCAGCCCTATGCAGTCGCCAATGGGTTCACCAATGGGCTCAAGTCTCATACTTGATGAACGAACAACGCCGATGATGGAATTAAGTCCTCCTGGGATGCATGATCCCTGTAGTGAGGTTTGTGTTCTTCATGTTTGGCAACAATGAATTTGACAATGTGTTCAGGGAGTGATTCTAGAAATCTTGTTTGTTGATGAATGTTTGATCATTTTCACCGCGTCATTGAGCTAAACCTCAAAACGGACCATAATTACCCACCTTATTTTATCTGATATAGTCTCCTTTTTGATCGAACAATGCCGGTAACGCTGCTTCGTGCTGAACTATTGCATTCTTTGCTGCGCCTCATTGCTTTCCATTTTGTTTCGGTCAATGACTGTATATAAGAGCGATAATATATTTGAGATGATATAAGACTATATTAATTGGTAGGTGTGCAGCAGAGAAAATTGTCATGTTTTCTTTTCCTTTAGACCATCTTTCGGAGGCACAGTTCACGGTGAAAATAGTAACTGAGAGTTCTCTTCGAGATTAACCTTTGACCTCCCAAGGATAGCACAGAGTCACCGTTAGATTGAAAAACGGATTGGATAGGGCGTAGCAATGGCCCCACAGCTGCCTGAGTGGGCGGACCCACTCAAATGCGGACGAAATCCCCTTACTGTAGGCAGGTATACGTGATGGCACCAACATTTGAGCATTTCGCCCGAATACCCCATCCATGTAACTCGTCGTACCTTCTGGTCTTACGGCCAATTTTGGCGCTTTTTTTGGAGGAATATATTACTCTAAATACGCAAATTCTTGCGTTTTTTATCCCATTTCGCTCAGGCGAATCATAGTAAGGGAAACCTCAGAGTATTTTAATAGTATAATAATAAGTATAATGGTAAATAATGCGTACTTTTTTCCAGGCTGGCAGTTTGCCGAATCTTCAGCATCACGGCATGACACCACATCAACAACCTCCACCATACTATCACCAAACTGTTGGCCAACGGCACAGTACTGGCGGAGCGCTTGTGGGTGCGCCACGGCTTGCACCCACAACCCGAACACCTGAAAGTCAATCGGCTCCAACCTCTCCGGCAAATAATCTCGATCCGTCTCAACAACTTCAGTGGCATGGAACAAGGTAGGAAAAATTGGAATCCACTTAATGTTTTGAAGTTTTCTTCTGGACGGCAGGTATTTTTATTGGGCTCACTACGCCATTTCGTATTTGCCAGTGCCGATTCATATAATATGAGAGCAATTTTTATATTATTTTTTGGCGTATTCTGGCAGTGAGCATAGTATTTTTGGAAGTCGAAATTGAATATGGGTTATAAGCGATTCGATAGTATTTACAAAAAGTCGAAGTGGTCGAATTGAAACAAGCAGAAAATGTTGGTTTGGCTGTGCTTTGAACAGTGAGAATATGTAAATGATTCTCTGAAGACTGGCGACAAGTAACTAGTGGTTTCGTAGCTTTCCAAAGACGCATGCGCTCATTTTTTTGGATCTCTGTTTTCGTTCTTTTTTATCGAAATTTCGCTGAATTTCAGGACGTTTTCGAACTCTCCCGAGTCATTAGACATTCCGCGATTGGTGTTGACGAATCCTGAAGGCACGAATGGCCCTCATCTAGAATGCTTCAACGACCTACAACATATCACCCTAGACGCGAACGATATGGAAATGTTATGTAATGGTACTGGAAATGGCATCCCGGTTCAACAGGTTGGACAATTTCTTTTGTGATTTCATTGACCGATTCTCTACCTTTTCTTCCTTTCCTTCATTTCGATACTTCCTCAAAATTGCTTCCACGGAAGCGACCAGCGACCCTTTACCGATCAATTAAATTGTTAATCTTATTCAGAATTCGAACATAATCGAACGTGGTATATTTTGTTTTGTAGAAGTACCGATTTATTGAAGGTCTTTCTCTTAAAACTGTAACGCCGATTTAATGTAAAGTTGGTGTATCAGGCAGGCCTGCAGTAGCGGTGATGACTTGCATGGTGGTTTCTAAGGGGAAGAGCTCCACGGCCTTATTTTCCAGTGATTGACAGATTGATGGGTCGTCTGTAAACTTTGATTCCATCGAGCGAAGTGGGTTCAGTGGGCTGCTTTGACTCGTGATGGGAACATCTTTTCGTTTGTGTCGCAAACCAAATGGTCACAGTTCATTACACACTCTTCACCCCTGAAGAAACCATTGGTTTCATTAATCCTGGTTTTCATCAACGTTTGATGTCAGTTGTCAATATTCAATGTCAGAAGGCTTTTGAATTTTTCAGCTGGAGCTGTGGTGTTGAGGAAGATGTAGAATGGGCTGTTTTTGAGAAGTGTTAATTTTTTTTTNTTTTTTTTTAGAGCAACCTAGTTCTTTTGTGATATGAACCCGTTTATCTTGATCAAATGAAGTTGTTTTCCAGGAGAATCAATTCCCCACTGAATAAAGCTGTCTCAATGAAATATTGAAGAAACGGCTTTAAGTGCTGCAGCCTTCCGATTAATATTGATCCGTAGTTGTCCTGTTGTTAATTTCGCTCATATGACACATCTTATTGTAACATTCTTCACATTCTTCAAGTTGCTTCAAATTTCTATAGTTTTTATCCCGTACACTCAGCTTTTTTGGGTTACGCAGTAATTTGGAGTAATGTATGTAATAACATGAATCGACCACATTTTGCCTAATCTAATTTTCCGATGCAGTTTACCTCATGAAAACAGCGATGTAATATGAAGAAAAATGATGTATTTTTATCATGTTTTAAGTATAGGGCGAGGTAGACTGTAGCCAGCACTTTTGGGTATAAACGCTTCCTTTGTTGCCTCCAATGATCGATTATCGATCTGTCGGCTTGTGTTCTATTTCCCGATTTTCTCTCTATTGGTACCATTAACTGTGATTTCCTTTTCAAATGTAAAAGTTATTAAGGTCTAATTTCTGAAAAACGGCCGTAAGTTACTAACTCGAATAGTCAATATCAGTTTTAGGCCGTTGGCCCTCAGGATATGCGGGCATGCAAAAGAGATCATTAGCAGTTCTCTCTCTAGCAATGTTAACAGTAAACATGGATGAGTAACGCTAGTTGTTTGTTGTGCTGCTGCGTTTCCAGTACAGAGATGTCATTGCGGCGGCTTTGGTTTTTGCCCGTCGTCAGATGGTGTCACTGTTTTGCTTCTCGACATTTTCCTCCTGTTCACATAAAACGCGCATCTCTTGACGAGGTTACAGTACTTCGTCGTTGCCCTTTTTCTATTTATTGATTGATGTTGTCATGTTCGATCGATTGATTTTTTATTATATGCTTGAGCCCGTACTTACCATTCATTAACCTGTGCTATATGTCACTGCTTAAATTTCGATTTCATGCTGCTCTTATGATAAATCGTATCTGTGGAAGAGCTGTTGGAGCATCATTGAAATTGGCCATGCAAGGTAGCCTCTCAGGCGATAATGGTGTCATGCTTGGACATTTTGCTGTTTGAAGTCATCTGAAGCAGCTTCTCAAGTGTCAGACCCACAGGGGTGTCACAGGACTCACACCTAGACCCACTAGGTTGTCATCACCCTTGTAAGTCTAGGTGTTGGACCCACTAGGTTGTCATCAACCTTGTAAGTTTAGGTGTTGAACCCACTAGGTGATGGGTTCAATCACGGTATTGTACTAACTACCTTTGAGATAGTAGTGTTGAAGCAATTTGGGCCAGGTTTGGTATGTCTTCTGTAGGTGTGAACACTTTACTACGGCTTCACTGGAGGGATTAATGACCACGGAGAAATATCTGCGTGCAAAACAGTCGACAGATTTGGGAATTACAAAAAAAAAAAA